CCGCATAACGGTCCCTCCCACTCCTAGCCCACCGAGACGCCGCAGCATGATATCGTGGTCTACGGTATCAAAAGCCGCTGAGAGGTCCAAAAGAACAAGGACAGAGGAATATCCCCTGTCCCGGGCCCTCCAGAGATCATTAACCAACGCGACCAATGCCGTTTCCGTGCTGTGCCCCGGCCTGAAGCCCGACTGGTATTGGGTCATTAGTGTCTGATGCAGAAATGTAAAACTAATTGATGTCTTAATAGTGGTTAGATGATCAGGGCATTATATTAAGCCATGGATAATTAGCTAAATCACAATCACCTAAATGTATACAACAAACCAAACCATAAACTATAATTTACTTGTGGGGTTCACACCACAGGTTAAACTAAAATTAAATTAAGCATATTATTATTAATTTATGCACACTTGATGCCAAAATAATGCTAACTGGTAGAATGTGCAAACATGCAATATACTGCCAATGTCTTAATTCTGATATGGTATTCTGGTAGTGTTAAGCAGAGGTAGTGCTGTATTTATTTGTAGTACTTGCTGTCTGGGTATATGTTTAAAATGTCTCATTTTGGCTACTTTCAAAGGGTATCCCCATTAATTTGCTAGGGTAATTTGAATGAGAAATTTTTCAGAAATGCAAACAAGGTTTATAAAGACCATATTTTATCTCCAGTTGATGTTGCCTTGGGATACCATTTTTTTTTTTTTTTGCACAAACCACGTCCTTCCTTGGGATATTGACTGGCTGCACTTCTTTCTTTTTTTTTGACAAAATTTTATTAAGTTTATATAAATGAGGAAAAATAGGAACAATACAGGTATGGTAAAGGGAGGGGTGGAAGGAAAGGGGAAGGGGAGGGGAATTAGGGTAAAATAAGGATAGGTACAATCACATATTTCAACAAACAAGCTACCGTCCGGATGATAATAATGAGTAAATATCATATTCAACCATTTTTACCAAAGCCTAAACTATAACATATTAAAAACAATTAGTAAACAAATACGTTGATCTATTAAGTAAACACTACTAATAAAATCTCAGAAAATCCTAACAATCAAAAGTAAGAAATGAAAATCAGTAAATCAAGAGAAATAATCATATCATCAACATGTTAGTTAGAACTCGATTAAAAATCAGTCATCTATTCTAAAATATTGAATCCTTCAAGTTCTAACGTGTCTCTAACCATTGATAAAAAATTTCCCAAGTTCTAAAATAAATTGAGTCATCTTTTTCTTTCATTTTTAATGTTAGTCTATCCATTTCCGCACACTCTAAAATTTTAGTAATTATAATCTGGTCAGATGGTAAATTCTCATTTTTCCAAAATTGGGCAAATACTATCCTTGCAGCAGTTAAAACATGCAATATCAAATAGTCATTCTCTTTACCATAATCAGGTCTTAATATTCCTAACAAAAACAATTCCAGTTTAAATTCTATCTGTAGTTTCATCATCTTTTCCAACCATCTATCGATCTTAGACCAATATTTCTTAGCGATAGGGCATATCCACCAAGCATGATAATAAGTGCCTGGCTGTTGTTTACACTTCCAGCAGATATCCGAAACATTTTTAAACATTTTCGCTAAGCGAACTGGTGTCATATGCCATCTATAAAATATCTTATATAAGTTTTCTTTATACGCTACCGCTTTTGTAAGCTTAATATTTTTATCCCAAAGTTTTTGCCAGTCTTCCAAATCTATAGAATGTCCAAAGTTCTTTGCCCATAGTATCATTGTTTCTTTCACTTGTTCTTCTTCCATCTTCCAGTTTAAGAGAAATTTATAGAGTTTTCTAATCAAATTCTCATCTGTTTTTAACAAAATTGTATCCAATGGGGTCTGTTCTTTGTAGAAACCTGTCGATTTTATATCTTTTTCGTATCTTGTTTGAATTTGCAAATAGGACCACCATGTCAAGTCAATACCTTGTAGTTGTAAAATTTGCCTGTCCTTAAGTTTTCCCTCTTTGTCTAAAATGTCTTTATAACTAACCAGTTTGTCATAATTAATCAGATTTGGATAAACAAATGCTTCCATTGTTGAAAGCCACTCAGGTATTTTCATATATATTTTATGTTTAATTTTCTCCCATTCTGAAAGTAGTACGTTTCTTATCGCATGATTTTGAAAGTACTTATGTGCTTTAGATTTCTCGTACCATATAAAAGCATGGACTGGCTGCACTTCTCTTACTGTCATATTAATTGTGTGTGTACGTATTTCCCTCTGCTTTGACCCCTTTTAGGAAATGTGACGGGAAATGGGAACTCTACGTTCATTTCAAGTGGACAAGTCATGAATTTTAAGGGGGAAATTATTTTTGTCTACGTTAGTCAGAACTCCCAGGAAGGATCAATGTCTCCTGGATCAAGTGACGACAGCCTGGGGAACCCAGTGCAAGAGGAAAACCTAAACCGCTGTGAGACATTTGCAGGCAATGCTCACCAGTATAAAGAAAAATGTGCTGGAATCAGTACGTCTCACGGCATGGAATCCGGAGAACCTCAAAGCAATGTAGAAGGGTATAAGAGGACTTTTGGGCCTATTGGTCAAGAAGAGAATTGTGAAAGCCAGAAGAAGAACTTTTCTCATGAGGCCTCACAGCCTGTACAAGAGGAAGGGAAGCCAGGATATTCTTAAAGGAGATGGTGCATCGACACAGACTAATGCTGGTTATCGGTATTCAGTCAAAAGAACACTACCATCCACTGAACATGATCTGGAAAAGAGATGCAGATAGCACTAATTAAGCAAAAGAAGCCTTCTGCTGGTTGCTGAGATTTCAGACTGCTGTGACTGTTGGTTTACAAGGGGTTTCTTTTTTTTTTTGCTCCACTATAAAAATGGTAGAGGAGACTGTTGGATACTATTAATGCTATGTGGAATATTTTGGTTTGCCAAGAAAAGGGTAATGTTTGGGGATTCAGGGATGAGGTGTGTTGTGTCATTGCTGTTCTTCCAGATGCCAAGGATTATGTTCCTGTGGAATTGACACATGCTACTTAAGACTCATCCAGAGGATTTGTGTTTCTAGAATGGTAGCTCCTGTTTATATACAGTGGTAACATTAACACAGTTGCCTTACCTTTACTGTAGAAAAAACAGATGAATGTTCAGTAAAACATAAGTTAGTTTTGCTTGTCCTCATGTTTCAGATAAGTTTTCTACCCCTCTTTTTTCATTTAAAATGTTTCATATTCATCCCTTAAATTTTTGTCCATGAACTTAATTTTTTTAAAAAGGAGATTGCAATTGCTTTTGGCCTGAATAAGAGCTAGCTTCATGTCACCGTACACTCCTGTGGGTTGTGTCACACTTTTTCAAAAGTTTGCCACTGAACGACTAGTAAATGGTGAGTTGTACTTATCGAACAGCCCCATCACTCTGTGTTTTAATTGCTATGAAGCCCATGATTCCAAATTAAAACAATGAAACTTAACACTTTGTGGGTACTCACAACTCCTTCCCCCCATATTCTCATTAATGGTGTGAAAGAAGACTGGCTGCTAATGAGCACTTTTTCTCAAGACAGGCAGGAAAGATGGGCTTTTGTATTTTAGATAAGTAACTTACAACAATCCAGCATTAACACTGTTCCCAGCCATGGACTGGCAGAGCAACTTCCAGTACAGTATACAGTACTGTATACTGTGTACTGTACTGTATACAGTATACAGTACAGAAAAAAGGTGACTAGTTCATTTAATATCATCAAATGATCTTAATCCATATCCGAGGCATGGAATACAGTCCTTTGGATTGTATTGACACCAAAATTATATTGTTCTGCATTGATACTAAGGATCCAAAGCCTCGTGGGGCACTTCTTGACATTAATGACATGCTGTATGCATTATATATTTTAAAATATGTAAAACTGCAGTAATAACTTTATGAAATGAGACAGTAAGTTTTTTAGGGAATGTTTATAATAGTTTTATTTGCTAAAATTCTAATTTTGTAAAAAAAAACAAACCAATCCACTAATAGTTTGCCAGCTGCCCCTTTAATATTCACTATTATCTCAATATTTCCAAAACTTGTTTATGGCTAGTAATTACTCCAGCAAGTTTGATGGATGGAGTACCAAAGAGTCAAAAGTTCCACTTTCCCATTCTCCCCGATCCCTCGGCTTTATTTGCAACTTTTCACTTTTCTCATCTACAAGTAGTCCTTGACTTATGACCACAGTTGGGACCAGAATGCCTGTTGCTATGTGGGATGATTGTTAAGTGAGCCATGCTCAATTTTATGAACCTTTTGCTGTAGTTGTTATGGGAATCACCATGGCCGTTAAGCGAATCTGACTTCCTCTGTTGATTTTGCTCGTCAGAAGCTGGCTGGGAGGTCATGTGATGGTGATCATGTGACCCTGGGATGCTGCAACTGTTGTAAATACATGCTGGTGGCCAAGCACTCAAATTTTGAGCAACCACTGGGACTCTACGACAGTTGTGTGAGGATCAATTGTAAGTCACTTTTTTTTCAGCACTAGCGTAACTTTGAATGGTCATTATACAAATAGATGTAAGTCAAGGATCACTTTGACTGCATTAATGCTTATGGAAGGGATGTAACAGTAACAGAATAGACTTAACGCACATGTGGCACAATGTCATCCTGCTACTTCTCTCATTTTGAGTGGAAATTAAGACTTCATTTATTAGGAATATGGAATGAAAAGAAATGAATGAAATCTTGAATAAAAGGTACAGATTCACACACAGTGATGCATGTGTTTTGTACATAATTTCTTTTTGATCTTGGAAAGAAAAAGGATTTGAGGATGCTATCATTTACTGTGTACTACAAGCATATGTGTTGATTTGAGGACAGATCAAGGAAGCTATTCCATGTTACAGAATAAAATGATAAATGGTTCTAATGTTATATATAAATATAAATATATATATATATATATATATATATATATACACACACACACACACACACACACACACACACACACACACACCCCAAGATGCACATACTGTCCCATTGGAATCTAGTGTCATGGTTTTTGGCTTAATATGGTTCCGACAGATGAAACTCTTCAAAAGAACTTTGAGGCATTGTTTACCTTAAAGAACCTTTATTTTGAGTAGCATAATATCGGCACTGCATAATCGAAGCCAAAAACTGAATTCCCCTTCCCTGAGCACATAGTATCAAAGCACAATTCCCTCCTCCAATTAACAGTCATAAATCACATTCCCCAATTAGCTTGAAGCGCGGGCTTCCTCTCCAGTTCTCCAGCCCACCAATTTCTTATCAGCTCTGGTTACAATAACCTTGTTTCTCACGCTAGGTTTAGTGTTGTTATGTCTAGCTGGACTCTCGTTCACATCTCCCCTCCCAGCATCATCTAACTCTAAAAGCAAAAGGTAAAAAATGGCTACATTTCCTTCTGTTGTCAATGCAAAAACATCCGATGTGAGCAGTGTTGACATCTAGTATGGATTCTGTCTTGAAGCACTGAAATTGAACACATATAAGTGAACACATATAAGCAGTGTTAGTGATTCTGTAATACATAAGCAAAATATTTACAGGTAGTTCTTGACTTTATGACAATTGAGCCCCAAATTTCCTTTGCCAAGCAAAACAGTTAAGTGAGTTTTGCATGGTTTTGCAATCTTCCTTGCCCTGGCTGTTAAGTGAATCACTGCAGTGAACACAGTGATTATTAGTAACAGTTGTTAAGTGAATCTGGCTTCTCCACTGACTTTGCTTGTCATAAGGTTGCAAAAAGTGATCACATGACCCCCAGGACATCGCAACTCTCATAAATACATGTCAGTTGCCAAGCATCTAAATTTTGACCATGTGACCATGGGATGCTTCAAAGGTTGTATGAAAAATGGTCATTAAGTCACTTTTTTCACTACCATTGTAACTTTAAACAGACAGTAAACAAATGATTATAAGTCAAGGTCTACCTGTAAATCATCTTTATAATAATGGAAAAATTGGAATGTGCTGTTATATTAGGTCAGATGGGCTACCTAGCTTAAAAATAACTATTCCAAAAAAATCAGCTGTTCTTCCGATTACCTGCTTTTGGGATCAGTGTGTGTTCTATGTTAATCTTTGAGACACTATTCTGATCCATCAGAGTGGTTTTTTAAGTGGATTTTCTTTTCAGTCTTAATCTCTTTCCATTTGTTGTCTGCTATTTTCTGTAACATAATGCAATTTTTGTACCCGGTATTAGTTACATATCTGGGTTTTAACATATGTTTTTCCAATGTCTATTTTTAGTGAAATCTCTAGGGAATGTTTAGTTAATTTCCTCAATGCAATTTTTTTTAAAAAAAATTCCTATTTCCCTGGTGTTGTTCAGTTGCTAATTTGTTTCCGACTCTTCGTGACCCATGGACTATAGCAGGGCTTTTCAACCAGTGGTAGGGATACCACCTGTGGTACATTGGTACCTGGCAGGTGGTACGCGGCCATCCTAGAAAAGTGGTAGTGGGGGAGGGGAATGAGCTGAACTGATGGCAGCACCGCACAAGCCTGAGCGAGAGACGGCTGAAGCTGCAGGGCTGTCAGGGCTCAGCGGAAGCACCAGGATCAGCGCTTCTTCGGGGCTGTCAGGGCTCAGTGGAAGCGCCAGGATCAGCGCCAGGCTTCAGCTGGAGCTCGGCGCTGAACCTGGCACTTCTGCTGAACCCAGAAGAAGCGCCAATCAGCTGGAATGTTGCAGCATCTCCAGGGTCTTATGATTTACATTCAGATGCTTGGCAACCGATTCATATTTATGATGGTCATAGTGTCCCAGGGTCATGTGAAGTGACCAAAATCTGCTGCAACCACCCAGCAGACGGGGGGAATAAAAACCAAACACCCCCCCACCCCACCCCCGCTGCCAATACTCAACAGAAATGCTCACAACAATGAAAACCTTGGACAGGAGGAGGAGCGTCGCCGGGTGGACAGGCAGGTGTTTTGCTCGGCTGTGCCTTGGGGGGCACTTTTTTCAGTGCCATTGTAACTTGGAACAGTCACTAAGCGAACTGTTTTAAGTCGAGGACTGCCTGTACTTTATCACTTTTTTCCTTTTTTGGGTCATCAAGTTTTTGACACCTTGCTAGGTGACTGGTGGTACTTGGATGTTGCCATAACCTAAAAGTGGTACAATGGGTGAAAAGGTTGAAAAGCCCCGGACTATAGCACACCAGCTCCCCTAATCTCCACTGTCTCCTAGAGTTTGCCCAAATTCATGTTCATTGTGTGGATGACACTGTCTATCTCATCCTCTGCCGTCTCCTGCTCCTTTTGCTTTCCCTCTTTCTCAACATCAGGGTCTTTTCCAATGTGTCTTCTCTTCTAATTTGGTGGCCAAAGTTTTTGGATTCCAGCTTCAGTATCTGTCCTTCCAAAAACCAGTTGGGGTTGATCTCCTTTAAGATTGACTGATTTGATTTTGCAGTCCAAAGAACTCTCAAGAGTCTCCCCTGATACAATGTGTGCTTTATTCACACCTTTGTCAAACATACGCTCTTCTGTGGACTCATCTTTTACAAACAGATGTGTTGTGCAGACTATTCAATGGAGAATAATGGACAGTAGCAGACTCTATTTATTGTTGCTTTTTATGAATCACATTCACAAGATAAACGGTAGGAAGACTTGAGATCACACTGGCGTTATAATATTGAAGTGATTATGTGGAAAATTAGGAATATGTAATTTTCAAGACATGTGTCCTAGAAGAAATTAGCTTTATAACTTGACCTAAAACATTCATTTGAACTTGAGTATTAAAAGTCAGGATAAAGCTGTTCAGTGGCCCTAAGAAAGAGAAAAGATATCACAGAATTTAATGTTGCACTAAATAGGAGATCAGATGCATTATGAATGGTACAAAGATGAAGTGCATTTTGATGCACTAAATAAATATTAAAATTAAATAGATATGTATTTTCATTATTTCTAGCTATATCTTTTGCATCGGTTCCTTGCATTTCTTTCTGAGTATATGTTCTTAAAACATTTTGAGTGCATTTGTGTAAATGTTGATTTGACAGTAAAGCAGTCCTTGGGAAAAAGAC